TAGCAAAGCTAACTTTTTGTTCAGCAGATTAGGATTTTTGCTAAACTGTTAGCAGACCAATTAGCTTCAGTTTATTGTAGTTATGCTAATAGCAGTGTTTGTTCCTGTATGTTATAGCCATTTATCCCAAAAAAGGAAGTGCATTTCTACCCCTGATACCGTGAGCTTAGTGCTTAAGTTAGCGGTTATCGTTAGCTTTCGCAATTTTTTCCCCCACTTATTTAGTGGTTTAGCATTAGCGATGTAAAATTTTTAGTTAGCAGATTAAAGTTTAGAAAAGCAAATTTTTGGACTAATTATGCTCACCACTGATCAGGCTTAAAAACAGTTTCTCAACTGAGCTTATTTAGGTTTGTTTACGTGTTTCACTGAGGGTTAAACACAGTGAAACATATACGTCTGCTTTAGGAAACGATCCAGACAAACATGCAAATATGTAGGAGTTGATCTGGAGCTGTGGGACTATTTTCAGTTTGCCTGTCATTTAAAAGAAAAAAAAACTCCTGCTGAGTAAACACACTCCAGCTCCATATCCTTTAGAACCGCCTTAAGAAAATAAACACTCTGAATACATAGCTGACAGGCAAGTGTGTAAAATACTGCGATAACATGAAGCTACGTGTAAATTCTGCTTCAGTTTGACAGTTTGTGCCCAACAGAGAGGAGAGGGGAAAAAAGCTTGTTAGGAACTGACTGGTGTGAAGAGCATGACTGAAACACAAGATATGAATGTTTTAATTTGGGTTTCTTTGCTTCAGGTTAAGACATTTTATTTCCATAAATGAATCTAATTCATTTCCTCCTATATCCTCTTAATTTGTCACCAGAGGCGTCCTTCATGCCAGTGATTCATATGAATAATTTTCCCGTCCCTACTTTGCCAGTGACCTTTGGAAACCCACAGCTAAATGATGCCACACACTCTCTTTGTGCCCTCTGGGTGTTTAAAACCTTGACAGAAATTAGAGTTTCCTCCACAAAGTGTCCTGAATCTAACCAATACATCAGGTTTAGAATAAAAAATTAACTAAATGTGCATTCACAAAATAAATACAGGGTGAGTCAAAAGGCTAATGATGCTCTTTCCTTTGAAAAACAGAGGAAAATGAAATATGACTTGGGGGTCCGTCAATTGTATTCATATATTATTTCTCATTTCACAAACCTGATGTGAGTTTCAAGCACAGAACTCTGCATGTCTTCAGCTACAGAACAGAAATCCAGTTGCGTCGGATTGCGGCGATCAAATACTTGTTTTATTTGATAAGTTAAAAAATTGGCTTTTCATCCAAAAGGGCAACCTTTAAGATGCCAATCAGTCCGGACATAGCCTACAAGATAGACCCCCTCATCTATTACTTGCTGGGGTGTTTAGATATTTTAATTTATTTTTCTCTTCTGAAAGAAAAGGGTGTCCTGAGATTTTTGACTCACCCAGTAGCTCCCACTTGATAGCTTAAAGATAAATTAAAAAACACATGTTTAGATATCTTACTATACTCGTACTTCTGATGTTAAAAACCATGTTTGGAATTTTACAAACTGCAAAGCTTAAAAAAGAAAAAACAAACAAACTGATTTTTAACATCTGGGACATAAAATGGAAGTGAAACTTAAAAGAATAAATGTTGAGCTGAGAAGCTTTTTTGTTTTCTGCTTAAGCTGAGTTTAATGTGAGTAGTTTGGACCCAAGTGTGTTTACCACTGTGTTGCATCAGCTTTTCTTTTAAAAACCACTGAAAGCGTTCGAGAACTCAGGAGGCTGGTTGCAGCTGTTTGCATTCTTCCTTCATACAAAGTTTCTAAATTCTTCGTTACTGTTGTCTTTTTTCATGCAATAAGCCTCCATTAGAAACGTTAGAGTGACTCTTTTAGTGCCAAACCATCTTGTTTTGATGAAACAGCGACACTGAAATCTGTCAGGATTTATTTCTTGGTTTGTGCTAACGAGGCGCTCCTTCCTGTCGTGGCTCCTCAGGGTGCTCCAGAGTGAATACAGGCGGCTGAAGTGGAAACACGAAGAGGCGGCTTCTGTCCCCATGCTGACGGAGGCCGGGGAGCCGGGGTCGCCCACGGCGGGAGGAGCGCAGGACGAAGAGCTGCTGGCCGAAGCGCGGGTCCTCCGCCAACACAAAACTCGCCTGGAGACCCGCATGCAGATCCTGGAGGACCACAACAARCAGCTGGAGTCCCAGCTGAGGCGGCTCAGGGAGCTCCTGCTACAGGTACGCCCAGAACCTGATGGTGTGGAAGGTCAACAGGAACAAAAACTATTTATAGTTTTTTCATGTGTTGGCTCCAAAATATTTGATTTCAAGTTTGAATAACTAAGATGATACTTTAAACTGGCCACTGAAAATATCCCTCTAACACCAGACTGGAGGCTTCGAACTGAAATACTGAGAATTTAGAAATAAAAGTTGGAAATGCTGCAGGCTTTGATTAAAGGCTGCAGGCTGTTTCATGAAACGCAATGAGCTTTTCTCACTTTTAAAAACAAAAAAGTAATTGACCAACATAAAAAAACAAACAAAGGAACTGCCTGGAGTTTATGAAAATATATTTAAAATACCTTTATTTTGAAGGGCAACAAAAGGGTTAACAGGAAATAATCTACTCAGTTAAAACAATAAAAATGTTACCACAGTTATTTTCTGTTTCTGTTGGCAACAAAATTTAGTATAAATCCTTCTTTTTTATTTTAAGTGAGGCATTAAAATTCAAAATATGTAATTATTAGTATTAGTATTTTATTTTATCATCACTGATTTGTGTTTTTTACTTAAAGGGACAATATTATGCGTTTCTCAGGCATATATTTTCAGTTACAGCCTGAGTCATTTCTACCTTCTCCTCTCTGTCAACGCTCTCTGGTTTCATTTAAAAGAGTCGATCATCAGATATTGTCCAAGATTAACCTTCAGG